TCCTTCCTTCCTTCCTTCCTTCCTTCCTTCCTTCCTTCCTTCCTTCCTTCCTTCCTTCCTTTTCTTCTTTCTTTCTTTCTTTCTTTCTTTCTTTCTTTCTTTCTTTCTTTCTTTCTCCTCTCTCTCTCTCTCCCTCCCTCCCTCCCTCCTTCCCTCCTTTCCTCCTTCTTTTTTCTTTCTCTGAAAACCTGATTTCTAGAACCTCACAGACCCTGGAGCAGAGTGTTCTGGAGATTTAGAAGAGAGGTGGCTTATGTTAGATAAAACTGTTCATTTCTGTAATGTTCTCCAGTTTCATTGTGGAGACCGTGAATGCCTTTTGGTTCACCTGTTCTTTGGTATTTAGCTTTGTATTCTTTGATGCTAATGCCAAATGATGTCTTCATCTTTTAATTAAATTTTCTAGTTGTTTGCTGTTCTTGTATAGACTTGCATCTGACTGTGTATTTAGCCACACTGTCAATAGATCAATAATTTTGTGTTTATGCAATTGATTACATCATTTACAAATATAACCACTTTTTCTCCTCAGTTCTAGTCTTTTATGTTTCTCATCTCTTTCTATTGTGCTAGTTATGGCCTCTAACTCAATATTGAATGGAAATAGTAATGACCAGTATTCTTGTACCATTCCTGACTTTATTATTACTTTCCAAATTTTTACTGGTGTAAGAACACTTAACAAGAGATATACTCTTTGAAATTAATAAAAAAAAAATTAACGTTTATTTATTTATTTTTTTTATTTTTTATTTTTTATTTTTTTTAATTTTTTTTCAACGTTTTTATTTATTTTTGGGACAGAGAGAGACAGAGCATGAACGGGGGAGGGGCAGAGAGAGAGGGAGACACAGAATCGGAAACAGGCTCCAGGCTCCGAGCCATCAGCCCAGAGCCTGACTCGGGGCTGGAACTCACGGACCGCGAGATCGTGACCTGGCTGAAGTCGGACGCTTAACCGACTGTGCCACCCAGGCGCCCCAATGTTTATTTATTTTTGAGAGAGACATCAGGTGGGGGAAGGGCAGAGAGAGACTCACACACACAGAGTCCAAAGCAGACTCCAGGCTCTGAACTGTCAGTGCAGAGCCCGATGTGGGGCTTGAATCCATGAGCCATGAGATCATGACCTGAGCTGAAGTCGAAAGCTCAACTCACTGAGCCACCCAGGTGCTCCCACCCTCTGAAAATTTTAAATTGTATAGTAAAATATCTTTGTTTAAATATTTATTTATTATTTGGGAGAGTGCAAGTGGAAGAGGGGCAGAGAGAGCAGGACAGAGGATCTGAAGCAGGCTCTGCGCTGACAGGCTGACAGCAGTTAGCCAAAGTGGGGCTTGAACTCCCGAACCATGAGATCATGACCTGAGCTGAAGTCGGATGCTTAACCAACTGAGCCACCCAGGTGCTCCTGGTACAGTATCTTTAAATACAGGCACAGTGTTGTATAACAGATCTCTGTAACTTACTCATGTTGCCTAACCAAAACTTTTTGCCCGTTGATTAACACCTCCTGTTTTCCTATCCTCTTGGCCCTGAGTGACCACCATACTATTCCCTGATTCTATGAGTTTGACTATTTTAGATTCCTTGTATAAATGGAATCGTGCATTATTTGTCTTTCTGTGACAGGCTTATTTCATGTACCATAATGTCTTCAAAATTCATTCATATTGTTGCACATTGCACAGTTTCTTTCCTTCTGAAGGCTGAATAATATTCCATTATATGTATATATACTTTTTTTAATTAATTCACCCATCCATGGGCATCTACTTGCTTCCTTATCTTGGCTATTGAACATGAGAATGCTACCTATCTCTTCGAGATCCTTATTCCAATGATTTTTGATAAATACCCAGAAGTGGGATTGTTGGATCATAATGATAGTTCTATTCATATTCTTTACATTTTTTTTAACATTTATGTATTTTTGAGGACAGAAAGAGACAGAGCACAAGAAGGAGAGGAGCAGAGAGAAAGGGAGACACAGAATCCAAAGCAGGCTCCAGGCTCTGAGCTGTCAACCCAGAGCCCAATGCAGGGCTTGAACTCACAAACTGCGAGATCATGACCTGAGTCAAAGTCAGATGCTTAACCAAGTGCCCACCCAGGTGCCCCTAGTTCTATTTTTATTCTTTAAAGGCACCACCATACTGTTTTACATAGCAGCCATACAATTTTGCATTCCCACCGACAGTGTACAGGGTTTCCATTTCCCCATATCCTTCTCCACACTTGTTGTCTTTTGTTGTTTTGATAATAATCACCCTGATAGGCAGAAAGTGAAATCTCATTGTGGTTTTCATTTGCCTCTTTTTATTTGGTTATTAACATTGACCATCTTTACATATACATGTCAGTTATTTGTATGTCTTTTTTGGAGAAATGTCTCTCTAAATCTTTAGCCCATTCTCAAATTCTCAAAAATTTATTAGTGTATTTGTTGTTGAGCTCTCAGAGTTCCCTATATATTTTGGAAATACACCCCTTATCAGATAAACTGGTTTGGAAACATTTTGTCCCATTCTGTAGGTTGACTTTGTTGATTGTTTTCTTTGCAGAAGTATTTATTTTGATATAGTCTGATTTTTCTATTTTTGGTTCTTTGGGTATGTGTTTAGCATCATATCCATGAAATCATTACCAGGACCCATGTCCTGAAGCTTCCCCCAATGTTTCCCTCTCTCTGTTTTATAGTTTGAGGTCTTAAGTTTAAGTTTTTAATCCATTTTGAGTTTTTGTTTTGTTTTTGTTTTTGTTTTTAGTTTTTTGGTATTGTGTGAAATGGGACTCCATTTTAATTCCTTTGCTTCTGGCTATTTAGTTTTCCCAACTCCATTCACTCAAGAGACTGTCCTTTCCCCATTGTATATTTTTGGCTGCTTTTTTGTGAATGAATTTACCATATAACACAGGTTTACTTCTGAGCTGTTTATTCTGTTCCATTGATCTGTGTCTGTTTTTCTGCCAATACCATACTGTTTTGATTACTGTAGCTTTGTAATGATGGTTGAAGTCAGTCA